TGGGCCAAGGAAAGCCTCATTGAAAGAGGAATTTAGTTAATTACACCTGCCCTGTCAGCCCCCTAGGGTTTCCCTGACACCCAGTGAGATGCCAAAGATAAAAAGCACAGGTGTGAGGGGGCTTTATTACCTCTTCCCCTTGGATTAGGCTTGAATGTACCTATGCATCTGAGATCTATATCCCAGCCCCACCCCACTCCCCAAAGGATAGTATCCGGGTGCACTTTTCCCTCTAACCTCAACATCCTTCAAGATTCAGGCTGCACAGAAGGCGGAGCGGGCAGAGATGGAATTAGCGTGGGCGTGGACACAACTCTGGACGCTTGCTCGGGCCGTTGCTTGGTGCTTTCATTCATCCAACAGGCCTTTACCCTGAGCCAGTCACTCTTGGGCTAGGGGCCTGGGGTACACTTGCCCCCTCCAGGAGCTCACAGTCCAAAGGGGAAAGAGGGGAGTTACCTCCCACAGTTCCCCATGAGCACACTGTGAGCAGCCTAGGCCAGCCTGCTGCAGAACAGAAAGAGGCAGATACATTTATCTAGCTGGACCAGAGCTCCCAACTCAGACCCCGCTAGGCCAGGCGGATTATATGAATGTAGAGTTGGCCGAGGAGCTCAATGCCCTTCTAAAGGCTGCATCTGGTCCAGCTGTTTGTTTCTCTGCAGGAAATGGACCCAGGGTTCTCAGATCTTCATGTGAAAATTCCGAAACCTCAATGTTTACGTGAAATCAGTTTTTTTAAAAATACATATTGAGTCAATACTGTGCAGGTCAAACCCATTCTGGATGGGTTGAATGTAGTGGGTTAAAGGGTGGCCTTCAAAAAGATGTCCATGTCCTAACCTCTGAAACCTATGAATGTGATCTTATTTGAAAAGATGGTCTTTGCAGGTGTAATTAAATTAAGGATCTTGAGATGAGATCATCCTGGATTATCTGGGTAGACCCTAAATCCAATGACAAGTGTTCTTTTAACAGACAGAGAGTAGACACAGACATAGAGAAGGCCATGTGAAGACAGAGTTTGGGGTTATGTAGCTACACGCCAAGAAAAGCCTGGAGCCACTAGAAGCTGGTCGAGGCAAGGAAGGATTCTCCCCTAAAGCCTTCTGAGGGAGGGAGCATGGCCCTTGATTTTGGACTTCAGGCTTCCCGAGCTGTGAGAGAATAAATTTCTGTTATTTTAAGCCACCAAGTTTGTGGTAATCTGTTACCACAGGAAACTCATATAGCTTCCGTTATAAGGCCTCCAGAGCTGCGTGCAGATTGGAGCAGGACCCTGAGCAGCTGCTGGGGTCGGACTCACCAGCCCCGGAACCCAAACGGCTGTCCCTTCTCCCTCTCTCTGCCGCGGTCCTCTGGATCACCACCGAGCCACTAGGTGGCACTGTGAACCTAGCGGCTCACAGTGGCAGAGCAAACCTGGGTCCCCAAGTCCCTGAATCCCAGCCCACCCAGCTTACCTCACTGCCATAGGCCACCCTGGAGAATCCTTCGTGTTTTCTTTTCTCTCCGAGTTTTTATCAAGTCAAAAAGGCCCCTTTATGTTGGGTTCATTCTGTCCTCTAGGCCAGCACTGTCTAATAGAAATATAATTCGAGGTACATTTTTAATTTTCTAGTAGGCACATTAAAAAAGAAACAGATGAAATTAATTTAAATAATGTTTTTTAGCCCAAATATCCAAAATATTATAATTTCAATACATAACAAAATGGATTGAGATTTAAAAAAAAAAAATTTTTTTATTGTACTTTAGGCGAAGGTTTACAGAACAAATAGTTTCTCATTAAGCAGTCAGTACGCATATTGTTTTATGACATTGGTTAACAACCCCACGACATGTCAACACTCTCCCTTCTCGACCTTGGAGGACCTTTTTTTTGGTGAAAATATACATAGCCAAAGATACACCATTTCAAAACTTTCTACATGTACAATTCAGTAACAGTGATTACATTCTTCCAGTTGTGCTGCTATTCTCACTATCCTTTTCCAAATTATTCCATCACCATTATCTTCAACTCACTGCCCCCTAGGCTTCCCATCAAACCTTTTGAGTTGCTGTTGTCAATTTGATCTCTCATAGCTAATTCTTTTTTTGTACTTTAGGTGAAGGTTTACAGAATAGAATAGTTTCTCATTAAACAGTTAGTACACATATTGCCCGATGACAATGGTTAACAACCCAACGACATGTCAACACTGTCCTTTCTCAACCTTGGATTCCCTATCACCAGCTTTCCTGTCCCCTCCTGCCTTCTAGTCATTGTCCCTGGACTGCTGTGCCTCATTAGTCCCGTTTTGTTTTATGGGGCTGTCCAATCCCCGGCTGAATGGTGAACCTCAGAACTGACTTCGCCACTGAGCTAAAAGGGTGTCCAGGGGCCATATTCTCCAGTCTCTGTCAGGCCAGTAAAAGAATTTTGTTCTACATCCTTCTCCAGCTCTGTCCAGGACCCTCTATCGTGATCCTGGTCAGAGCAGTCAGTGCTGGTAGCTGGGCACCATCTAGCTGTACTGGACTCAGTCTGGTGGAGGTCGTGGTAGTTGTGGTCCATTAGTCCTTTGGACTAATCTTTTCCTTGTATCCTGTTCTCTTCATTCTCCCTTGCTCCCGAAGGGGTGAGAGTGGAGTATCTGAGATGGCTGCTCACAGGCTTTTAAGACCCCAGACACTACTCACCAAGGTAGAATGCAGAACACTGGATTGAGATATTTTGCATTCTTTTTTTGTACTAAGTCTTCGAAACCCAGTGTGCATCTTACACGTACAGCACATCTCCATTCGGACTAGCCACATTTCAAGTGCTCAATAGCCACGTGTGGCCAGTGGCTACCAAATGGGGCCAAGCAACTGTAGGTCCTGTGGAGGGCCTGAATCCTACCGAGAGGACAGTTCTCAGGTTGTGAGGTGGAATTCTGTTGGAAGCTGGATACTGACTTAGAGCCTACAGGATCTTAGAGACACAACTTATCCCCCTCTGAAGGAGCTTTCATATCTATAAAGACTTTCACATATTTCTGGAAACCCCTGGGCAGAGGAGCCCAGCTGACTCCCTCCTCCCTGCCACTGACCTGTGGCGGGTAAGAGCCTCCCAGGACTGAGATGAGGACGAGGCTGTCCTCCCCCAGCAGGACCCGACTCACAGCGACCTTATAGGACAGAGTAGAACTGCCCCACAGGGTTTCCAAGGAGCAGCTGGTGGATTCGAACTGCCGACTTTTTGGTTAGCAGCCCGAGCTCTTAACCCCTACACCACCAGGACTCCAGGGAGTCCTTCAATTTCACTGCCCTGGAAGCCAGCATTTTGCAAATAACAATGGGTTTCTCTTAGGGAGCAAAAATTCTTAATTTAATATAGTCAAATTTGTCAACCTTAAAAATTCGCCCACAAGCTGCAAAGTATTCTAGAAACAGATTTGCCTCCAGGTGTCATTTCAGCTCCTCAAGCTCAGCCTCAGGTTGGCCCCAGCTTATGGCCTTATCTGCTCCTCTCCTTCCTTCCCTCTGTGAGTCGCTCCTCACTCTCGCTGCCTGGTCACACCCCTCCTCCACCTTGACTGCCCGCCTCCTGTGTTGGAAGCAGCATTTCGGAAGCCAGGTTGATAATGCAACCCCAAACCATTTTCATTTCGCTAAATTGGCTCATTTTGCTCCAAACTAGTTTGCCGACCTGGACCGGGGTTTACTGTCTGATTGGGGTACCGTTTGAGACGCGTGTCTCTCTCCATTTCTGGGCATTGGTTTTCTAATCTGTAAAATGAAAAGGATTGGAACCACACAACCTCTGAGGCCCCCTTCCATCTCTGACTTCCCATCCCACATCATGCGAGATCCTAGGATTTTAGACGCTTGACCAAACCTTCCTCCAAACCACACACGCATCCCTTGGTGGTTTCAGGTCAGCCTTGTAAATCAATGTACGGAGAGAGATCAGGGACATAGAGAGAATGAGAGGCAGAGAACAGAGATCTAGGCAGAACCAGAGGGAGGAGACATAAGTGAGAGCAAAGACAGAGACGTTCAGAGAGGATGGACAGCAGAGCCTGAGACCTTCAGAGGCGGCGTCTTCCCTGAGCGGTTCTGGAACAGGCTGATCTTGCCTCCTGTTTGCATCACAGAAAAGCTTGGATGGGCTAGGACGAGGCCCAACCCTTCCTCCTTATACCCTCCTTGCCCACCCCTCACCATCTGAGTAGCTTAGAAGACAATTCCGTGGGCCCCCTTTGGTCCAGGCAGGGACCCTCCACTGACCACAATGGAACCAGGGACCAGGCTATGGACTGGATGCCCCTGGGAGCTGGGGGCGAGGGGTGGGTGGGATGTGATAGACCCAGGGCCTGGTATTTTCCTAACAAGTAGGAAGAAGCATAAGCCTGCCCAGGCCAGAAGAGAAGCCAAAGGCTCAGTCCCAGCAGAGGTGAAGACACACCCTTCTGTGACCCATTTAGTTTTCTTCCCTGTCCAGAGCCTCCTGCCTAGTTCTGAGGCTACAGTGGAAACCAGAAGCTGGCCCAAGTCTCTCTGGGCTGGGCTAGGCTGGGGCAGAGGCAAAACGCTGCTGGGGCGGTTCTCTGGGGAGAGGGAATTGAAAAGAAAAAGCATCTCAGAGGAGGCGGGTGGGAGGGGCACACACACACACACAGAGCCTTCCTGACTTAGCCTAAGCCTCACTCCAAGAAGGAGCACTCTTCTGTCTGCTCTCTGAGCTTTCTGTCGCTTCCCCGCCCATCTGTGCCATCAGCTCAGCCGGCAAAGTTGGCTTCAAACTTGAACGGCGCTGAAGGCTCCAGCTCTGCTTCAGCTTCCCAGGAGGTCTGCACGGGCCTTGACCAGCGCATCCTGACCTTCTCAGCCCCAGCCGGGCCTCGCTTCCTTTGGTGACACTTTTGTCCCACCCATAGGCCCCCAGTCTAGGGTGGGAAATGGTGCACTGAAGTCCTCCTGGGGCCCCTCATCTTGGCCTGGAGTTGGAACAGCCCAAAGCCCAGGCCAACATGGCCAACCCTGCGGAGCCTCAGTTTCCCCTGGCACAGGAGCCGGGCAATGCCTCACCCCTGGAACTGCCGGAGATGGAGAAGCTCCTCACCAAGGTGGAGGACAAGGATGACAAGACCCTGAAGCTGTCCAAGTCCCTCTCAGGGACCCTGAACCTGGAGCAGAATGGCCACAGACTGCCGTTTAAGATGGTCTCCGAGCAGCACCTGGAGGTCCAGCTCTCCCAGTCACCCTCCCGGGTCAGCTCGAGGTGGGCATCCTCTATCAGCACTGCCTCCTACGCCCAGGAAGAAGAGGTGCCCAATGATTACCTCATCCTTGCCATTGCCTCTTGCTTCTGCCCCGTCTGGCCCCTCAACCTCATCCCGCTCATCTTTTCTATCATGGTAAGTGCTGCCTGTGCGCCAGGGTCAAGGGCTGGGTCCAGGAGTCAGCAGACCAGTTTCCGGGCAGGCACAGAACCCTGCCAAGGCTCTGGAGGAGAGAGAGCTGTGTGCTGGGCTGCGAAGAGGAGCCCCTCTCTCAGCTGGCCTACTGCTGTCCCTTCCCAGGAGGGTTCCTTTTTGCTCCTCTTTTATCTCTGTTCTCGGGCATCACAGTTTGACTCTGCACATATCCCTGCCGGGGAGAGGGAGCTGCCTAGAGCTAAATCCTGCAGGACAGAAAGACAACGGGGAGTGGGGGGAGGTGGGTAATGTTCCTGTCCCACCCTGAGGCTTCTGGGTGCCAAGTTGGGGGGTCTTGCCTTTAGGATGGGGGGGTCATCACTTAGTGGGGCTGAGTTCAGCAGAGGTTGCAGCTGGTATAGGGTCCAGGGGTCCCTGTTTCCAGGACAGCCAGGCCCCCTCACCTCTCCCCGAGCCACTGGGGCATTCCAAAAGCGTTTGCCAACTCTGGTTTCTGAGAGCCAGCAGTGGCTTCCCTACCAAGCATGGAAGGCCCCGGGCTCGCCTCCCCCTGAGACTTAAGAGGAGGGGAGAGTCGGCAGTCTGCTCCTCTGGGGTGGGCGTTCTGGTTGGAGCCCTCTGGATCTCAGGGGTTGCACCGATTTCAGCATCTGTGTGCAGAGCAGGAGAGGTCTGGGCCACAGGTGAAAAATATGCGTGTCAGAGGGTATGGCTGCCCAGCCAAAAAGGAGAGGCGTGTGGGCTAGGCTTGTACTTCTCACTCTCGCGCTGCAGGGTTGTGAGTAAATTGCCTTAGATTGCTCTGAAACGAAACAATTAGAGTAGAGCTACTTACAGAGGATCCCACAGAAAATGTTGGTAGGTGTTGGCTACTGACTTTTGAGATCCAGGAAGCAGAGAGAGAGAGACTTGGCAGAGCCAGGGCTTCCAGAATGAGGTTATGAGCAGGGGAGAGTAAACTGCTGGCCCCAGACTGTTCAAGTCCAAAGGACTGGATAGGGAGACACTGTTTAGCTTCCCTCTGGGGTGACTCCACTGCTGAGTCATCTATTGCCAATTCCCCAGGAATCGTGCCCACTCCTGCTGCCCCCGTCACGTCCTCACCCCCACCCCCATCCCTGGCTGTCCACTGAGAAAGTCCATATTTCCTCATACATCTCCGTCCACTTCACTGGGGCCTAGTCTCCAGCCAGGGAAGCCTTCCCTGACCTCCATCAAACCCAGGACCTCCCCAGCCAGGACTTTGGGGGACACTGGGA